GACCTGAGCCAAAGGCAGACGCTTAACGACTGAGCCACCCAGGCACCCCGAGAATCCTTTTTTAATAAAAAATTTATTTATTTATTTATTTGAGAGAGAGAATGCGAGGGAGAGTACGGGCAGGGGTGGGGGGACAGTGGGGCAGAGGGAGAGGGAGAAGCAGACTCCCCGCCGAGTGGGGAGCTGGATGCGGGGCTTGATTCCAGGACCCTGAGATCATGACCTAAGCCGACGGCAGACACTTAATCAACTGAGCAACCCAGACTCCCCGAGAGAGAGAATCCTAAGCAGGCTCTGAATCCAACACCGAGCCAGACACAGGGCTCCATCTCATGACCCTGATATCATGACTGAGCTGAAATCAAGAGGTGGACGCTTAACACACTGAGCCACCCAGGTGCCCCTAGGAAATGAGTTTCTTATAGGCATGACCAGGCCAGCTCTAGGAAGAATGGTCTACAGGAAGAACAGCAGCTAAAATTTACCAAATTTTCTCAATGATACCATTAAAAAACAGTGTTCCAGAAGGATTTCAGCCTACATTTTGAAAAGCTGTCAGAATTGACCTCCGGACAAGATAGGTAACTGTACAGAAGCAGAGTGCAGTGACAGGAGCGTTGTGTGTGGCACCAAGAACCCTGGGCTCCAGCCCCAACTCTACCTCATTCCACTGTGTGTCTTTGAGTTCCTCCATTCCCTGCTCTGCACCTCAGCTTCCCCATCTGTAAGTGAGGACACCAGATTAAATCATTTTTAGTAGACTGTGTGTTCCATGAGAGGAAGAAGCCTACCATATTCATCTTTATACCTCAAGTGGCTTGCACAGTATGGCAAAAACATTTCTTGTTAAGTAGTGTGAATCTAAGGTCCCTTCTAGTTCAGACATTCCAGGATTCTCTATAATAAGTATACCATATGCTACCAGAAAAAACTCCAGGATAATTTTCAAAAATCTTGGGATGTTGTATTGCTTATAGACAGATAGAGGTTGCAGGGCTTCCTATCTGCAAGCATAGCCCGTTTTTCAACATTGTCATCAAACCAAGGACAGATGCCATCCATAGATCTAGGTCACCAAAAACAGCAGATGCTATAAATGGATTGGCTTTGCTTAACACTGATTGGATTCTTAGCTGATATCTTCAGAGAGCCATATTTCCCATCTGAAGAGCACTCACAGGACATTCTAAGCAAAAGATAACTTTTAGAATTACTTACCCCCCAAACCAATTGGATTTTTTTGGTGAGCTGCCACATTCAATGCTTTGTAATGTTTATCCTCTGGAAAATAGTTCAGGCAGCAACTTCCTAATCTCTGTAATTACTGAAAAGACGCTTAAATTAATCTCTTCCCTAAGATTATGTTTGTACTGAAAGGAGATTCACAAGGTAAATAAAGACCTTGTTTATTTATTTTTTTTAAATGTTTTATTTATTTATTCATGAGAGTCAGAGAGAGAGAGAGAGAGGCAGAGGCAGAGGGAGAAGCAGGCTCCCCGCCCAGCAGGGAGCCCAATGCGGGACTCGATCCCAGGACCCTAGGATCATGACCTGAGCCGAAGGCAGATGCTCAACCATCTAAGCCACCCAGGCACCCAGACCTTGTTTAATGAAAAAGATTGTTAAGTGTAGTTTTCCCTCACAAAGAAATAAATATCTTACAAAATTCCAAGATCATATAAGTGGCACATTTCCAACAATTATGGAAAATATACCATAATGTTAATTATACATCTATTTTTATTTTCATTTATTTAAGTAAGTTCTACACCCAATGTGGGGCTTGAACTTATGCCCGAGATCAAGAGTTGCATACTCTACCAACTGAGCCAGCGAGGTGCCCAGATATATCTATTTTTAAATATACAAAGTAAGGGGGCACCTGGCTGGCTCGGTCATCAGAGCATGCGACTCTTGATATTGGGGGTGTGAGTTCAAGCCCCACACTGGGTGTAGAGATTATTAAAAAGAAAATATATTTTTAAAAGATTTTGTTTATTTATTTGCCAGAGAGAGAGAAAGAGAGCACAAGCAGGGAGAGCGGCAGGCAGAGGGAGAAGCAGGCTCCCTGCTGAGCAGGGAGCCCGATGCGGGGCTCGATCCCAGGACCCTGGGATCATGACCTGATCCAAAGGTAGACACTTAACCGACTAAGCCACCCAGACATCCCTATTAAAAAGAAAATCTTAAAATATATATATATACACACACACACACATATATATCCCCTACTTTATTTTTTTTTAATTTGAGAGAGGGCAGAGCTAGAGAGAGAGAGCATGCATGAGCTGGGGGGAGGGGTAGAGGGAGAGGGAGAAGCAGACTCCCTGCTGAACAGGGAGCCCCGATGATGAAGCAGGGCTTGATCCCAGGACCCTGGGATCATGACCCCAGCTGAAGGGGTCCCTTTTATTATTATTATTTTTAAAGATTTTATTTTAGGGGTGCCTGGGTGGCTCATTCAGTTGACTGTCTGCCTTTGGCTCAGGTCATGATCCTGGGGTCCTGGGATCGAGCCCTGCATCGGGCTCCCTGCTCAGCGGGGAGTCTGCTTCTCCCTCTCCTCCCCACTCATGCTCTCTGTCACTCTCTCTGTCTCTCTCAAGTAAATAAATAAAATCTTTAAAAAAAAAAAGATTTTATTTTAAGTAATCTCTACACCAATGTGGGACTCAAACCTACAACTCCAAGATCAAGAGTCACATGCTCCACTGACTGAGCCAGCCAGGTGCCCACAAAGTAGGATATATTTAAATACTTAAATACATCATTAAACATTTTTATTTTACTCATAGTACTTCTGTTCAAAAATTTTCAGAGTTGACTGCTACTGTTTCTGCAAGAAAGGCAATTTCTCCTGTTTAAAATAATACTTCAGGGGCGCCTGGGTGGCTCAGTCAGTTAAGCAGCTGCCTTTGGCTCGGGTCATGATCCCAGGGTCCTGGGATCGAGCCCCGCATCGGGCTCCCTGCTCCACAGGAAGCCTGCTTCTCCCTCTCCCACTCCCTGCTGCTCTGCCTACTTGTGCTCTGTCAAATAAATTAAATATATATATATATATATATTTAAAATACTTCAATAAGTATGAATCATAGAATTTGAGATGGAAGAGCTTTCAAAATCATCACATATAAACCCTTTATTTAAAGATCTGAAGAATCGGGGCAGAAACATTATCTGCTCAAAATTCTAACTAGGTAGGTTTCCCGACCTCTAGTCTAGAGTTTCCCTTATAAACATCTACAAAGAAGAAACACAGTTTTATTGCATTTTAACAACTCTATTTTAAAAACTTAATAAATTCTAATCACCAATTGACAGTGTAGCTTATTCTAAAAATGAAGAGCAATACAGAAGAGTCAGAATAACATCTGATTCAGTGCATCAGCATGGGAACTGGACAGACTTAGGTCTGAATTACAGTTCACTGCCATCTTGGGCAAATTGCTGAACCTCATGGAGTCCGTTTCATATAGTAAAATGGAATAATCTCTCTCACTGGGCTTCTGTAAAGATTAAAGATAGCACTTACAATGTGCCAAGGACTATTCTAAATGCTTTATATTTATTAACTCTTTTGATTTATTCCACAAGCCTCTGAGCTAGATGCTGTTACTATCTTCATTTTGCGGATGAGAAAAGTGAGGTGCAGAGATGTTAACATAACTTGCCCAAATTTACAAATAAATTGCCAATAAGTGGCAGAGCTGAAACTTGAATGTAGGCAGTCTCCAGAGGCCTTGCTCTTGATCAGCATAGTATACTGCATCTCTATAAAGGCTAGTGCATTGATAGCCCTCAGCTGAACCTGGCTATTGGCATGATTGCTAGATTAACAGTATTAGCAACTGAAAGGAGCAATTTCTGCCAACTTCACCCTTCACCTAATACTACGGTTAACACACACATATTAAACATACGTAACAAATATACACAGAGAATATACACAAATGGTTATATGAGTCTGAAGGATATTAAATTGAAGCCAATTATGTGTCCTGGCCAGAGTGATTGATCACACTAAGGCTAAGAATTCATTAAGTTATATATCATATACCAAGGCAATTTAAAATCTCAACAACAAGTACACGTCCCTGGATAATGTCCATGCAGTTGTGATTTATTATGAGTAGACTAATCTAAGCAGTGAAATTCTATTCAGTTATCTTCTATTTATACTGTGAACATGTAATATGCTTGAGAGGAGGGACAGTGTCTTGTTCATTTTTTTATCTGAGCTTTAAGCGTAGTCTGGGAGAATGGATGCAAGGCAAATATCTGTGGAATGAGTGAACGGATGGCATACTAAGGTGAAGAGTCTGTTTGGCAAGAAGCTTTTTTTTTTTTTTTTAACGTAGGCTTCAGGGGCGCCTGGGTGGCTCAGTCAGTTAAGCATCGGACTCTTGGTTTTGGCTCAAGTCATGATCTCAGGGTCCTGAGATCAGGCCCAAGTGGGGCCTCCTGGGTCTGGCTCTATGCCCAGCGTGGAGTCAGCTTGTCCTTCTCCCTCTGCTCCTCAAAACCCTCCCCTCCCCATTCATGTTCTCTCTCCTCAACAAATAAATAAACCTTTAAAAAATAACAATAAAGTAGGCTCCATGCCCAATGTCGGGCTTTAACTCAAGCTACCCTGAGCTCAGGAGTCACATGCTCTACTGACTGAGCCAGCCAGGCGCCCTGCAAGAAGCTTTTTAAGGACCCAACAACATAAGGGTCCTTCAAAATTGCCCAACAACAAATCATTCAGGGAACAGTTACCTGGGCTCTGTCCCAGATTTCAGGGCAGGAAAGGCTGGAGAGGACTTGGAAAAGCCATAAACTCAATTATGGCTCTGCCCCAATTTGCTTCCCATAGACCTTAAGATACCCAGTGGTCACTCTAAACATAACTCAGAATTCTCTTTTAACTGTATTCCTCGATATACTCCAGCATTTATCCAGTTGTTATTTTCCCCGAAGAAAGTGGGACTCAGAGGGTTGTGACTTGCTAAAAGTCACACGAGGCAGAGCTAGGGCACCAGACCTTATTTCCCTGGACTCCTGGTCCAATCAGTGTTCACGGAAATGCTGATTTCGTATCTCCCTCCCTCTCCCCAAATCTTCTGCGCGCAAGGCATCAAACCGAAAGCTCAAATACAAACAAAGCCCCAGTGGAAGCACTGGAAGATGGTCTGAGTCGACACTCTAATGGTACAGATAGGGGAAACTGAGGCCCAGAGTCTCCCAGGGAGTCAGCACTAGGTCAGAACTTCCAAGGTTGCCCCAAATTTGGGGGACAACCTGTATACAGTTTTTCCTTCCAGTCTCTTAGATCACAGACGTCCCCCGCTCTATCCATGTGCACTACCAAAGCTTATTTTTGATGTGTGTGTGGGTGGGGGGAGAGGGAGCAGGATGGGCTGCGTGGTGCACCCACGACAGGGGGGTATAGCACCACCCATCCCAAGGCCGGCCCTCGAACGCTCCGCTTTGACCAGGTGGGCGGCTGCAGCCTGCGAAGCGCGAGGGCTCCCACCTCCCTGCCCGCCCCCGCCTCGTGCTCCATACCCACCCGCAGGCTGGCGGGGCCGGGAGCTGAGGCCGCGGGGGCGCAAAATGGAGGGCGTCCGCAGCCACCACGCTCCACGGCCTCCCGCGCCTCCGCCCCTAGCAACGAGGCGCGCGTCGCTAGGGCAGGCGTCCCCGCGAAAAGCCTCCGAGCGCTCTCGCCGCCCCCGAACCCCAGTTCCGCTCGCCGGACGTCTCCCGGAGACCGGGCCCAGGGCGCCGCGCCCTGTTTTCTGCCTGGAACAATGAGGTGGTGAGGTTTCAGAGAAGGGGACGGTTGTGCCCAAAGACCGCGCCACCAGGGAATCTATATAATGCAAGAAAAGCGGTACCACCGTAATAGTCATCGAGGAAGTACTGAATAAATGTCATCTTTTAAATAATAACTATTCGCCCAGATGGAGATGGTGTTATATTTCTTCGGAATTTTCTGTGATTCCACCCCGTGATCCCTCTTTTGGACACTTCCCCAGGTCCCCCCGCCCCCAACAGTCCTATTCTTTTTTTCTTTCATCAAACCAGCACCACAGCAAAGAGACCCCTCAATACCTTCTTGAGATCCAATGGGAAGACAGTTCCAGAAACTAACAGCAGCTGCAGGTACATTGCTTCCAGGCTAGAGTCTATTCATTTCTGTATTTCTAGTGCACAGGGTTTGGTGTAGAGTAAGGGTTTGTTGAATGTTGAATGTTTGAATGAATGAATGAATGAATGAATGAATGAATGAATGGGATCCGAGCCAACATTTCTCTTGCACCTAGAAGGGACCTGCTGTAGTGCTGATCTCCCAGCAAAGCTGCTTTCAATGAAGACTTGTGGAGTTTCTGAAAGTTGAGTGCCTGTGGGAACAGGAGTAGGGGTGGTAAGAGAAAATTACCTTCACAGACTATTAGGGCTGGCCATTGGTTCTATCTTCCAATGTAAAGAGGCAATACCCTCCACAGCATTCCTGATAGAGGTTCCTTTAGCCCCTATTGATTTCCCTCGGTGATGATGCACTCATTACTTTCTGAGTCAGTGTCCTGTTGTTCCTGACAGGAGCTGGGATCTATCCCCACACAACACTGATCTTAGTTCAGAGCCAAGGGCTCTCCCTACAAGCTTAATCCCTTTTGCCCACCACAACCTGGCAACCTTCAACCAGGAGAGACTGATTGTTTTGCCCTGAGACACTGGGCCAGGCTTAGTGCAGCTAAAGAGTTGACTTGCCTGATCCCTGCCCTCAAGATTTTCCAGCTCTGAGGATGCAGCTCTTCTGGAAGATGCTTTAGGCTTGAGGCACATGAGACTCCCCAACTGGTATCTCTAGCCAGACTTCTCCTTACACCTGTATATCCACCTGCTTTCTGCCCATCTCCACCTGGCTGTGACTCATACTGAAAACATCATCTTCCCCCCTAAACCTGTTCTTCCTCTTTTCCCTCTGAGTGTTGAGCACTACTGCTCACCAATCACCCACGCCAAGGATCTTGGAGTCATCTGTAACTTCACTCTCTCTTCCTTGTTCCAGAACAAACCCCAAGACTTAATTCTGCCCCTGAAATATCCTTAAAAAAAAAAAAAATCTGTCCACTTCTCTCTACTCACCACCTTGGTTCAGGCCAAGATCATGCCAGAGCGTGATGGATTACAAATGGCCACAAATTCTTTGTAGCTTCTGTCATCAGGGCTGGTCTTGTAACTTATTTTGACCAACAGAATGTGGTGGAAGTGACATTGGCTACTTCCGAGTTTAAGCCTCAGAGAGCTTTGTAGTCTCTGCTCTCATCTTCTTGAAACACTGCTGCCAGGGGAAGAAGCCCAGTCTAGTCTGTTTAAGACACGTGGCCCATCCAGTAGCTAACACCACATGGCAGACATGTGAGTGAGAATATCTTAGACCATCCAGTCCTAAATGAGCCATCAGATGACTGCAAACCACGAGTAACCATCAGAAGAATAGCCCACCCGAACGAACCCTGCCCAATTTGCCAACCCACAGAATTGTGAGCAAATAAACAGTTGTCATTTTAATCCGCTCAGCTTTGGGGTGGTTCGTTATAGACAATATATAATTCATATTCAAGATAAAGTCCAAGCTCCTTCCCTCGGTCAGTAAGGCTTGGTCCATGTTTCTTTAGCCTCAGCTTCCACCTCTGGCACCCACACTATAGGTTCCAATGGTCTAAACTACTTGCAGCTTCTTGGCTCACCTTGCTGTTGCCTTTGAATCCTTGTACATGGTGTTTCCTCTGCCCAGGGCATCTCCCCTACATCCCCTCACCTATCTGTCTGGCTAACTATTTATCCTCAGCTTAGACGCCATCTCCCTCTCTACCCTCAAGTCTTCTCTAACCATTCCCCTCTTCCTCCAGATTGAGTTAGCTACCCTTCCTTTGCGCTTCCAAGGCCCCCCACACTTTCCCTAACACAGTGTGATTTTCCATTTACCGGTTTCTCTCCCTTGATTCGGAGTTCCATAAGGGCAGTGACAGAGTCTCATTTATACCTGTATTTATTGCTGGTGTCTAATACAAGGTCTAGCACAGCACTGCAATAGAAATTTCTGCTATGATGGAAATGTTCTATGTCTGCGCTGTCTATAGATACGCTGGCCCCAAGTCACGTGTGGCTATTGAGCACCTGAAGTGTGGTTCGTGCAATTGAAGGACTGAATTTTAAATTGTAAATTTTTTAAAAGACTTATTTATTTGAGAGTGAGTGTGAGATAGAGAGCCAGCACCAAGTGGGGGGGGGTGCGGAGCAGAAGGAGAGGCAGAGGGAGAAGCAGACTCCCTGCTGAGCAGAGAGCCCAATGAGGGGCTCCATCCCAGGACCCTGAGATCATGACCTGAGCTGAAGGCAGACTCTCAACCAACTGAGCCACCCAGGCGCCCCTAAATTGTAATTAATTTGAATGTAACTTTAGTAGCCACCTGTAGCTAGTGACTATGGTATTGGGCAACACAGGTCTAGCACACAGTAGATGCTCGTTGATTTTTTTTTTTAAATATTTTATTTTTTTAAAGTAATCTCTACACCCAATATGGGGCTCCAAATCATAACCCCAAGATCAAGAGTCGTATGCTCTACCGACTGAGCCAGCCAAGTGCCCCACATTGAATATTTTTGAATAAACAGCGAAAAGGATGACAATCATAGACAGCCAATTAAGACACAAGGTAGAATGCAAGGGAGGTAAGCAACATAACCCTCACTTTTCATTCGTTCATCCCTAACATTGTCAATACTTCCAACTCTCCCTTGTATAATCTTAATTCTTGGCTCTTTACTGCCTGAGCTGGTTATTCTCTCCTGAACCTGCCCAGTTTGATATTGTCCCTCCTGTGAAATGGGCTGGTCCTAAGTGCCTCCTGGAGACTAATCTCATTCGGTCCAGACTGGTCAGGCCCAAGCAGAGAGGACTCTCTCCTTGGGGGCCTGGACTTAATCATGTGGGAGCCATGTGGTCTAAGTTTCTCTACACTGGCAGGCTGCCAAGCCCCTCTTAGAGGTGACAGTTGAGGCTGTTTCCACTATAAAAAGTCACACAGAAAAGAAGCCACAGGGCTGATAGTCTTGCTACTCCTTACAAGAAACTGTACAAGCCCTGGTCAGATCATTTCCAGCCCGGACACCAGAGACTTTGGTGGCCTCAGGGTCTGAGGAGGAAGGAGGCATGGGGACAGGGTGAGGTGGGATCAGCGATAGGCCAGGGCCTCCTACCAGACAGGCAGAGGAGGGCTGGGTCTGTGGTGGAAGAGTAGGCCTGACAGAGAGTAAAGGCCAGGGAGGTACAGTCCTTTCCAATAGACTTTCCCAAATATTCATTACAAAAAAGTTAAAAAAAAGACAACCCAAACCAAATAGCATAAGCAGACAAGTGAGAAGTCCGGTTACAGGGAAGAATGTACAGATAGTCCCAATTTTATAAAAATAAATACGTCCTGGGGGCATCTGGGTGGCTCAGTTGTTGGGCGTCTGCCTTCGGCTCAGATCATGATCCCGGGGTCCTGGGATCAAGCCCCGCATCAGGCTCCCTGCTCCGCGGGAAGCCTGCTTCTCCCTCTCCCACTCCCCCTGCTTGTGTTCCCTCTCTCGCTGCATCTCTCTCTCTGTCAAATAAATAAATAAAATCTTAAAAATACATGCATACATACATACATACATACATACATATGTTCTGTGGGGCGACCGATTGGGTGGAGGCTAGTGGTGAAAGGGTTCACCCGGGGCAGAACAAAGGAGATAGAAGTTTTTTGAGTACACTGCAAGAGGATAGCGGGCAGGACAGCACAGGAGAGACTGTCTGCCAGGAGGCAGGGGTGGGGGGCTACAGCTACACGGGGCGTGAGGAGGTATGGGACCATATGGAATTTTCCTGCTTTGGTACCTGGGCCCAGTTGTGAGTAGCCCATTGGTCAGCTGGGGCTTATGGGTCTTCTGAGGTGGGTCGCTTAAGGAGCCTGCTTGCATTCAGCTGGTGGTCACTGTGGGCCCTTCTGCCTTACTCGGGTTTCCATTGCTCAAGCCTGCTGCCTAAAAGCCGCCTCGACGTGTCCCCGCCCACGTCATACAGTAGGGGCTAACGGATCCTCTACCATGTGTGTGAGGATCTGTAAATATATTTGTAGTGCCTTTTTCAGAATGCAAATTGTGTATGGTTCCTTGGTGAGGGGGTGAGCAGAGCTCATGGCATAAAAAGAAATTTTGCCCTTGCTAGTTCCTCTGCTTGGAAACTCCTTCCCCAGATTTCTCACGGTCTGCGGGCTGTCTCTAACCAGTCGTAGTGCTCCTCCTCCCAGAGACCTCCTCCATCGCCCTTTCTAGATCAGCACCTCCCTCAAGCCCTCTATCTATATGCCTGAGCATTTTTCATACAGCTCTTCTCACTCACCAACATTATATGACATGTCTGTTTATTTTGTTTGCTCAAGAGAGTAGACTTTGCTCTTCTTTACGGTTGTATTCTCGGCGTCTTAAATATGGCCCGGTGCATAGGTAGATGGTCAATAAATCTACTGAATGACTAAAATGTAACAAAAGTGTCCATTCTTTGGGTGCCTGGGTGGCTCAGTCGTTA